GCGAAGTGAATTCTTGCCGGGCCAGAGAAAATCCGCACGAAAATCACTTGGAAATTCAGAACGAACTACTCCAGGACAATCCGGGCCCATCCCATTGTTATCCGGCATCCGCTCTGCGATGTTGGCGCCATGACACCGATACATGGGGCGGGAAAAGGAACTCGCCGGGGTGGTCAGCAGAACCCCCTGGAACGTCGGCGGAGGACGACGACGCGGACTCGGGACCCCAGACACCCTCGCGTGGGAGGCTTGTCGCTCGTTTCGGCCACTGGGGGGTCCTTTCCGGGCCCCCGGGGCCGTCGAAAAACGACTCAGAATGAAGAATCGGTCCCGGGGGAAGGGGTCCAGGCCTCTGGGGGTCGACGTTGCGAAAAAATCACGACGTCGGGGGTCTGGGCTCGGAACTCAAGACTCGGGCGTCCACAAAACAAACCCCTTGTGGGGTTCAGCGCCAGGGTTGTGCGCACAGCGCTAATGCGCGATGCAGACCGCGACGGCGGGGACTGAGGGGAGGAAGGATACCTAAGTTGCTCTACAGTCGGCCCGTACCAGAAAGATGCGCGCTAAGGATGCAAGGGCCTTGGACGCCCATTTCGAAGCTTTTCGGGCGGGGCGCGGCCAACGAAAGTGGCCAAGGATGGACCAAGGAGGCAAGGATGCAAGGAGGCAAAAATCCATCATTACTTTGCGGATTGACTGTGTTTTTTTACCCGGGCTCGAGACGCGACGCACCCGTGCTCCAATCGGCGAGTTGCCAAGGGGCGGACTAGACTGAGAGGACTGGAATGACTGCCCGCTGTGAGATCGGATGGCCGAGCAGCGCGTTTGCATATTCACCGCACCCTTCCCCTTTTGAACACAATAAAAACGCCCCCCGCCCCCCACATCAGGAACTTTAGACTAATGGGACCGTCAAACGACGCGCGAACTGAGAGCGGAAACTGCTCGACGGTCAGCCAACGACAACGCCGCGACATTCAATGCGAACGGCGCGCTCACTGTTCCCACCGTTCACCTTTGCTGCATCCCACGCACACCATGCTCCCCTCTTCCCGTTCCTCCTCCCCGTGCTCTCTCCTGTTCTTGGCGCGGTTGCACCAGCAACGAAACAAAAAGAGGTCGACGCGTTGACCGGGGGCGCCCAGCAAACACACAAAGGTCCATGAAACCGTCATGCACATCGAGAAAACCCAACAGACGGAAGAACTGCCTGTTCAACGGGTCTAACAGAAACAGGACCCAGGAACACCGAAGCCAGAAACCCGGTCCCGGATGTAGCTGCATCGGAATCCCTCCTCCGCATCCTCCTTCCAGCAATCACGCCTCCTGCTCGTCATCCTCCTCCTCCCCGCTCCTCCCCCGAAAACCTGAAGAGAGCGGGCTAACGTCGGACAGGGCCAGACCACCCTCTTACCACATCCCTCGACTGCGCGGACCTTCCCCCGCCTGGAAGCACCACATCATAGAGGAGGGAACCGGGGGAAGGAGACGAAGCACGCCCGAGCCACAAGAGAAAGCAGGAGGAGGAGTCAGAAGAGGACTAGGCGAAGGAGGAGGAAAGAGAGGAGAAGCAGGAGGAGGAAGAGAAGCAGGAGGAGGAGGAGGAACATAAGGAGGAAGACAGCAGCACGAGAGGAGTAGTGGGGCAGGCGGCCAGGCCAGCCCCTCACGGAACACGAAACCCCCGGGCGGCCGCGCCCGGTGCGCGGGACCGGGGCCTGGTGAGGAAGGCGAGCCGAGGAGACCGACTTGCAGAAGCGGGGGGGGGCGGGGGGGCGGGAGGGAGGGGAGGCTGAGGTCGAGATGGAAGGAGGGCACGGGAGGGGTAGGCGGAGAGGGCAGGAGGGGAGGCTGGGAAAGGGGGGGGGGGCAGGCGTGAGGATGGCAGTCAGGCGCAGAGCCATGCGGGCGGCAGCGTTCGCCAACGGGTGCCCAAGCCGAGGAGCCATGGACACTCGACCCGTCCAGCTGGGCCAGACAATGCCGCGCTTGACACGTGCAGAGGGGTAAGAGAGAGGTGAGAGAGGTAAGAGAGAGAGGAAGAGAGAGAGGAAGAGAGGGGAAGAGACAACAAGGACACGGAGGAAAAGCAGGGAGGAGGGAGGAGGGAGAAGAAGAGGATCGCCCACAAAAAACTTGAACCACCCGATTCGTTCCACACGACGCTGCCGCGGGCTCCGCCGACGCGCACGCGGCAGCTGGTGCAGCCAGGGCCCATATAGAGACCGAAGGCGAGGATGCAGCTCCCGTGCTGGGAAAGGTGGGCGACTGCAAGGGCTCCCAACTTCGCGCTTCGCGCTGCGCGAAATGCGAATAACTTCGCGCTCTCGCGCCGCCTCCCAAGGGAGAAAAGAAGGATGAGGAGGAGTCAGAGCCGAACCGCGAAGCGCGAATAACTTCGCGCCCTCGAAGGCGCCCTTGGACTGAGGAGTTTACGGATACCAGGCAAAGGTAGGAGTTCCTGCGGCAGCCTGAACATATGGTCGCGACGTACCAGAATCAGCGCCACGATGAAGGCAGCAATCGCGTCGCATCGGAATGGTATTTTGCGTCAAAGCACAGATCGGAAGGCGCTGCGCAGCCTCCGCGAGGTCATCCACAGGGACTGTTCGCGGCAGCAATGCTGCCAATTGAGAATGTGAGGAAACCGAAACCGGATCAATTATCTCACCGCTACCTGAGAGAATAGAAGCCGCCGCGGAGCGACCGCGAAGCATTTCAATCTGGTCGCGTCCACCAGGCAAGGCACGTAAATTGAACGCTGCGTGGGGGCCACGAACACGATCCATTGATACACGTACAGATTCCACTGCTGATCCGCTGATGAGGCGGTACATACCTTCACTCGGAGGGGTAATTAAAGAAAGCCGCTGCACCGAGACCGCGACGACTTTCACCTCAAACTTGCCCACCGGGCTATGCACATCGCATCCGCCGACCCTTCCAGTAGCGACGCGGGAGACGTCTGCCTCTCCCCACACCTCTTTCTAGGGAGAGTCGGTTTTCGCAAACGAGGGCGGCGCTGGGACCAGGCTCGGGAGGGTCCCTGGAGTGCACCGGACCCCGCCGTCACCTCATGACGGGCTCACGATCGACGACGAACCGAAAGGGCGCGGCCTGGGAATTGCTCGGGAGGGCCCCTGGTGTGCACCAGGCCCCCGGTCTCTTCCAGACGGGCGCACGATCAACGACGACCCAAGAGGGCGCCCAGGTGCCCCAAACGGCCCAAAAAGGCCCCAGGAAGCCGCCAGGACGGTCCAGGAGGCCTCCAGCACAGCTCAAGGCATGACCCCGACCCGCGACGTGGTGACCTGTGTCGCAACGTCGACCCCCAGAGGTCTGGAACCTTTCTCCGGGACCAAGTTTTCATCCTGTGTCGTTCTTGGACGGTCCTCGGGACCGGTAAGGGCCCCCAGAGGGGGAGGAGGAGGAGGAGGAGGAGGAGGAGGAGGAGGAGGAGGAGGGGGAGGAGGTGGATGAGGAGGAGGAAGAGGGGAGGAGGAGGAGGAGGAGGAGGAGGAGGAGGAGGAGGAGGAGGAGGAGGAGGAGGAGGAGGGAGATGAGGAGGAGGAGGCCGAAAATAGCGGAAAGCCTCCCCTCGCGATTTGTTTCTCAACGCGAGGGGGTCCTGGGGAGGTGCCCCGAAGGGAGGGGCCCAGGATGCCCCCGAGCCCGGAGGCGCCCGCCGCGCGCTTGAGAGGCTCCGCAGCCAAGCTGGCCCAAGCGCCGCACGCAGCAGCGGCCCGAAACGAAGAGGCGGCAAGTGGCGGAGGAGCGGGGGGGGGAGGAGAAGGAGCGGGATGATGATGGTGACGATGATGATGACGATGCTGATGATGATGATGAGGATGATGATGAGGATGATGATGAGGACGATGCTGAAGATGAGGACGAGGATGAACGTGCGGATGATGGCGAGGATGATGATGCCGACGATGATGATGATGCCGATGACGATGATGATGATGAGGAGGAATGTGATGAGGATGATGGTGGCGACGGTGATGGTGATGATGATGATGCGGATGATGATGATGATGATGATGATGATGATGATGATGATGATTTGTTTTTCTGTCCCCCACGAGACCGACGGCGGCGGGCGATGACAACGTGATGAAGTCCTTACAGAAAAAACTATGAAAGGTCCTGTGTGCGAGCCCAGAGGAGGGGAGGAGGGAGGACCACGATCAGCAATTAAGCCCGTGACCGCCATCTCGAGTCGCACATGGCCCCTCGGCCAAGGGACGCAAGTGGCACACGGCACAAGAGAAATGGTGCCTTGCGGTACTTCATCGGAGCCTTGCGGTTGGCAGGAAATACAGCAGAGGCAAGCGGAGAGCATGGCACTGCACACTCTGGCTTGCACTGGATGTAAAAAAGCTCCATGCTGTCCGCAAAGATGATGATGATGATGATGATGATGATGATGATGATGATGTTGCTTATGATGATGATGATGATGATGATGATGATGATGATGATGATGATGAGGCGGAGAAGGAGGAGAAGGAGGAGGAGGAAGGAGGGAGGAGGGAGAAGGAGGGGGAAGGGGGGGGCGGAGGCGGCGGCGGCGAAACGATATCGGACCGAATGTCTCCAGCCAGAGAGACTACATAGCGAGCATGCGAGGCACCAATCTGCTATATACGATCAATCGTGCGCTATCCAAGCGAGTGATGAAAGGCCCGCCCCCGATAGGGAGCCCCGAGTCGTCCTCGCTCAACCTAGAGGCAAGGACATCGCACCGAGTGCACAGGCCAGCACAAGAGGTCCCTATGGACCCAGTCCAGAAGAAAAAGAAACCCCGAGGAGCTCTGGGCATGTCAGCCAGAGCGGGTCCCCCAGAACACATCATCGAAACCTGCTTGCATAGCCCACCAGCTCCTTAAAGCTGGGCAGCCCCTGAGGAGGAGGAGCGGAAGAAGGACGAGGACGAGGAGGGGGAAAAGGGTCAGCAGCAGCGGCAGCACGGCTGGCCTCCTCGAACGGCGCGGGGGTCACGGGCCCCCCATGCGCGCCTTGAGGCACACGATCCACAGCACTCGCAGCGAGCACGTCCCGTCCACGATCCACTGCATTCCCAGCGAGTCGCACAGGTCCCTGATCCACTGCACTCCCAGCGAGACGAGAAGGTCGCTGATCCACAGCACTCCCAGCGAGGTCAGCGTGTCGCTGATCCACAGCACTCCCAGCATGAACGTCTGGTCGCTGATCCACAGCACCCCCCTCGAGTTCAGCAGCTCGCTGATCCACAGCACTCCCAGCGAGCACGTCTCTCGACCGATCCACTGCACTCCCCCGTACACTCCCTCGAGCACACGCAGCGAGAAGAGATGTGACCAAGATACCCACTTTATCAGGCTCGCTCTTCTCGTCAGAATTGACTTGCGAGCCACTTTCCTGACGCGCGATGCCCACTCCATCCTGTACCAAGCTACGTGGCGACTGAACCTGGGAGGTCATCCCCAGGATTTGCTGCGTCCGAGCGAAAACAGTGGCAACTGAGCCCGCGCGAGGCGGGACTTGCGCTCTAACCGCCAGCGGCAAAACCGACGACGACTTGCCTGGGCGACCATCTCCAGGACTTAGCGTCCTAACGCCACGCGTTCTAACGCCTACAGCTCGAGCTCGTCGATGGCCATCTGCAGAACCCTCTCGTTGTGAGATCTGGGGGCAAGGCCTGGGCGCGTGAGTGCGCCGAGTTGCTCCGTGCAGGACTGGAATACGCGAGTCAGGCCGACGTCGTTGAAAGAGTACACCATCTTGGCCATCCCCTCCTGGTGGCAGCTGGAGACGCGGAAGCCGCGAATCAGCAGTGCCATATCCGAGATGGACGTCACGGCATCCAGCTTGTCCTTCTGCTCGACCCACTCCCGCGCGTTCTTGGCCCCCACTCGCTCCTTCGCGTCCGTCAGATGCTGTGCTACCACCAGGAAGATCTGCACGCACGCTGGCCCCATCACCGTCTCTGGAAGCTGATTGTCGGCAGGTGACTTCTGATGGAGCTCGCGCAGGCGAGCGGCTCCGGTCGCATGCGCGCGACCTGCACGAAAGGCGGCCTGAATCAAGGGAGCGTCTTCGTCCATTGTCGCCGTGATGAAGCTGGCGGCCATCATCTGACGTATCGTAAATGAGTTCCCCAAGACGGCCTTCATCAGGATAGGGGCGATCTTCGCCATGAGCTGGTTGTTCATGGGTGGCAGTTTGTCGAGGGTGTCCATTGGGATCCCGTAGTTCTTGCCAAGGTCCATTTTGAGATCGTCCTCGCCTCCTGGCGCCGGCCTGGCTGCGCGGGCGCCGCCTGCCTCGGACCGCCGCGCAGGAAGCGGCTGCCTGCTGCGCTGCGCGCGCGCTCCTCCACGCGGGCGGGAAGAGGCCACCGAGCCAGGGCGGCCTCTCTGCGAGCCTGGCTTGGAGCGGGAGCGAGTCCCTGCAGCGGTCAGCTCCTTCTCGCCCAGTCGAAACATCAGGGCCAAGGGGGATACGAGGGGCGTGTCTACGAAGATGCCTGATCAGCTCGTCTCGGTCCCGAAATGGCTCCGTACAGTTGCACATATAATCCAAGCTGCTCCAGGGACCGTGACCACCGAGGATCGAAGCCGTCTTAATCTCGGACAAGGGGCAGTACAGGCTAGGGGGCTCCAGGACAGCGTGATGGAACGTAGAGGGCCTCGGAGGACATCGGGCCTTAAGGACTGCCTGCACAGCGTGTTCTTGGGCAATGCGATGTGTACGAAACGATTGACGGCAGAATATACATTCATTCGTCACAATGATGGTGTGCACGAGGGACCTGCACGCGTGGCCGCCGTTCTTGGAGAAGCGTTGATGCGCGAGAAGGGCCCGACGAGTCTGAAAAACCTGCCCGCGCACCTGCCCCTGGGAGTCCTTCAAATCACAGGTCCAGCACGACGTAGGAGGGGGAACATCCCGATCACCTTCAGGGGCCTCGAGACCAGGAGGAGCACCATAGAGCCCAGGAGGTGGGGGTATCGCCGTAGTTTTTTCAGCCGCCCGTAGGAGCCCAGGGTCTAAGGTCAGGAACTGCTCCTTGAGGTCCCCGTCCATGAACAGGGCCTTAACATTCAACCGAAGTGCTGGTTCCGAAGCAGGGCCCGTGAACAACCACCCTTCCAGAAGAGACGCCTCCGACTTCTGGGCCAGGCTCAGGATGTCGAACGCGAAGCGTCGAGCATAAGGGTTGACTCCCCTCTGTTCCTGCAGCAGAAATACTTCCTCGCTCAAAGTGGGACGCTCATCAATCGGCAGCTGCCCGAAGAGAGCCCCTAACTCCTGAGGGTGACGATCGGGGAACCGCATCCACTGCTGATACTGCTTCAGCCTTCGCACACGCAGCTCCACTCCAGTCGGAGCGATCCCCACGCGCTTCAGGACAGTGACGTCAGACAGAGCACGGTAGCGAAGCACGGGACGACCTCGATCATCGACGACAGGGTCACCTCCCTCATCCACCACCTCCGTCTTGATGCAGGCTCCTCCTCCCAACAGCTTACGCGCGAAGCCGACCAGGACCCGATCGAGACGCAACTCCTGGGCCTCCGAGAGGATCAAAGTAGTGAGTCCTGACAGAAGGGCGCCCTGGACCACGGACCCGAAGACGATCTTCGTGAAGTTCCAAACTCGATTCTGGCTCCAGAAGCGGCCCATGGTGTAGTACCCCCTCCTGCATGCCAAGATTCGCCTCTGAAGCTCGCCCTGGACGCCCCCGTTTACAGCCGTCTGAATACCCAACGCCACACTATCAAACTGGACTCGTCCAGGCAACTTCACCGTACCCCCGAACACAGCAGCAGCATGCTTCTGAGAACCGAATCCCACGAACGAAGGGGTGACGCTGCTTTTTTCAGGATTGTGCGCATAGCCGTCGAGGGCCAGCGCAGCGTGCAGGTGCCTGTGGGCCGTCTCCAGCGTGTGCCGCGCGTTCAGCGCGGAGGTGACGACGTGCGTCTTGCTGGTGTCGTCGGCGTAGACCCTGCACGACAGGTCCACAGGGCGTTGAAGAATGGGAACCCAGGCTGTGCAGATCGCCTCGGACGGCCAGACCGTGCGAGTGGGGATCGACGGTGGTGTCGGCGGAACCAGCACAGCCTCTCGCCATGCAGAATAGGTTGTCGGTCGCGGGGGGGCCTCGCCTGACCAGGTCTCGTCTCGCAACGCGTCCAGCCACGACTGTACAGGATGACGGAAGGTGCGCGCGAAGAACAGGGCCGCGGGGCTGTCGCCCATGAAGGCGCCACACAGGTTGTGCATCGTCTGCTCGCCGTCAGCGCCAACAATCGTGAACGTGCTGTTCTCGTGGCGCTGGTGGAAGTAGCAGCGCGCGTCCTCGCTGATGGATGTGGCCACCGTGGCCCTCAATGATGAGAAAGAAGTGCAGCCGAAGGCGTTGGCCATATCTTCCTTAGCCGTAACCGTCGAAACTCCAAGTGCCCTCAACCGTCCGAGTACCGCTTCCTGACAGATCAAGGCTCCCTCGCGACTACGGCCATGATGATAACCATGCTCACGATCGGGAACGGGATCCACAGGGCCTCGACGAAGCTGAGCTTTGCACCACAGCACTCCCATGCGGCACAGACCGTGTATGAAACGACGCGCCGAGAAGCCTTCCTTGCCATTGCGTTTGTCCAAGCCAGTCGCACGGGAATGATGCCATACCACTGGCGCACGCCGAACTCTCCGAATATGATGAAATATTTTCTGAAGGGCCTTGATGCTATGCTCGTTGGAGATCTGCGGCGCCGCCTCAGCACCAAGACCGCGCATATCACCCGCAAGCCGATGCCGAGGTGCAAACTCAGGCCGAGACGGTGCAGGTTGTGACGGCGCCTCACTACCTTCGTCGTCCCCCTCGTCCCCTCGGCGACGCCGGCGGCGGGGGCGCCTGTGCGAGCCGTCGAAGCGGCGCATCGGGTCCAGCACTAGCATGATGAGCTCCGTCGGGATCGAATGCAGAGGCGCCGCCTTGCGCCGAGGTGCCGTCACTGCCAGCTCTGCTACTGCTGCCAGATCATCACGACCCTGTTCGACATGTGCAAAATTGTCGCTTCCGAAGGAGTCGGGGGCGGGCAGATCCTCCAGCAGCGCCGTCTGATAGTCCTGGAAGGTGACGGGAACGGCCGAGAAGCCGCCGAGAGGGCCAGCCTGCTCAAAGTGCGTGCGGATCTCGGCCACGCGCGGAGCGTAGGAGGAGGCGAGGTTGTAGCGGCGCCGCTTAGGTCCTCCACAGCGCCCCGCAAGAAGATGAGCGAGTCTCCATACCTCCGCATGCCGTCGTCCACGCCAGGCTTGACCGAGCTCGCCGACCAGTTGAGAGACCGCCTCATCTTGTCTGGTCCGTCGCAGAACTCTCAGCTTCTTAGAGCACCGTGCCAGCAGCAGCGCCGACGCGAGATCACCTCGACCCTCTTCACGAGCCTGACGTCGTTCTCGGAGGAGCTGACTCCGCATGCGTCCGTATTCCCGAAGTTTCGGATCGACAGCAGCTGCACGTGAGAAATGACGCTCCGCCGTCGAAAACACGAGGGTGACCCACCGCTCCCAGGCACCGTCAGGGGCAGGCGCGTGGAGAAGAAGGTCATGGAAGTCCCCCTGGGCCTCGAACTGCGCCTCCAGATCTAACATGAACTCTTGAACCCGCTCTCCTTTCTGCAGCGCTTGAGCCAGGCGGTCGAAGTCCCAGCGCACAGGAGCAGGGCCAGCCGAGCTGAGGTCGAAGCAGTAGTCGACTTTCAGGAGCAACGGCACATGGTCCTGGAGGCCCTGCTTGCCGATCAGCTTGAGCCTCATGTTGGCCCGTCGCAGCGCCGTGCAGTGCGAAACAGCAGGAACCAAGGCCGAGTCCACAGCAATGTAGTCGATAGTGCTACAAGACTTGGCGCCAAAGTAAGTCGGGCCGATGTTGTAGTGCGTAGTTATCGCCACCAGACCATGTCGTTCCATCAGTTCCAAGACCTGATCGGCAGCATAGTGTTGTTCCGATCTAGCGAAGGTGCCCAGCGCGTCGGATGTCACTACACACTGAGCTTGTCCAGAGCGAGTGCGTATCCCGTAGCCGTCGTTGAGGTCGTAGCCCCACACCACAGTAGAACGCCGACGAGCCCAGGTCATGGTCTTTTCCATCCACTGGCAGACGGCGTCCACTGTCGTACGATATTGGTTCTGGGCATTCGGAGCGTGGGATTCCCTGCCGAGTCGTCGCCCGCTCGGCTTGGGTGGGAAGTATGTGACAGGGAAGACCAGGTCGAATCGTCCTGAGCGAAGGCGAAAGAGGGCGACCCGTCCTTGC